GGACATGAACACAGTGTTGCTTGAAGTCGTCATTTCGGTAAATGGTCTCCCGGTCACCAGCGCTGCTCAATTTATACCCAAAGTTCACAACCAGTTGAAGGTCGGTCACGTGAACAAATGACCTCATTTAAAAACTAAATATGTCAAATAAGCGAAAATTCCAGTCAGCGTCTTTTTTCAAAACTGGGGCCAGCAGTCGATAGACGATGCGGTCATTGGTCTGTTGTCTGGGGCCGAAGGGTCTCAAAATTCGGGTCATATTGGCCCCACGAGCCTGCATGAGGATGAAAAAGAGTGCATAAAGACCACAACTGGCGTTACTTGTGTCTTGAAGCATACGAGGGTTATAGCTGTAAGGTTTGCGGGAATTACGGTCTATAAAGCTGACAATCTCTTCGTGATAAGGGGGCAAACCAAAAGAATCCCCAAAATAAAATTTCCCGGCTCCATTAAAAAATAAACTGACCCAATGGGAACCCGGTTGGGTGCTCAGGTCGGTGTTGATGATAAAAGCAGCCGGTCGTGTCTGATCAAAATGTGTAGGTAACCGATCTCGCGCTAACACTTGAACCAGAGGGAGTCGTCTAACAAACACATCTTCTTGTAGTATGCGTCGAAGCTCTTCTGTGTTCATTTTAGGCTGAGTAATCTGTTAGAACTTGTCTGGTCTTGGAAATTTCTAGCAATGAGTCTAATTCCGCGTAGATGATCGTTTGTAGTGGTACCGGTGTGACTTGGTTAAATTTAAGCTCCAATGAAACTGAGCCAGAGCGGGCCATCTCAAACATGGCTCCATCAAGAAGACTAGGTGACAGATCAAAGGCGTAGAGAGCGTAACCGTTCATAAAAGCGTCGTAATCTATACCATTCCCAGCGTCTTTTCCAGTAAAACCCAACGCCAGGTTACTTCCAAAATATGCGCGCGCATATTGACCGTTGAAAAACGTAGGTGCTAAGGGTTTGCCTGTGACACAGCGTCCGTCGACCAGTAGACTGAGGTAGTTTAGTTGAAAGTGGTGGAAATTGAAGGGGTTGGTATCTAAAACTCCATTGAAACATGCCGACGTTACCAACCCCACAACTATTCGGGTGGGCGTCTGGCTCAGAAACAGATTGTCTTGTATATGAGAAAACATACCCTGGGGAATGCAAAACGTCTTAACTACTATGCGTTTTATCGGATACTTCGCTGTGGCTCGTAGTAATGCCTTCTCATGTGCCATAGATATAGCGGGGTTTAATTTTACCTTCCTCACCAAGAAAGTCGCGTAGGTTATAACAGACTTGTAACCAACCGTTGCATCGTGGGCAATTATATTGAAGACTGATTTGGAGGGTGTCAACTTGATTTTCATATCGACGCCGTTAAGTAGATACCGATCTTGCACAAATATATCAGAGTGCAACTTTCCCATCATGTCGAGCTCTACGCTATTGGTGGCCAACGATCGGCGCTTCGAAAATCCTATATTGTTGTTACCTGTCGTATCAGCCATGTGACCTGGTGTATCTTGGTAATAGAAAGCCGCCGTCAAATGACTCTTCTTGGCCTCTTCTCCATAATTAAGTAAACACTCTAAAATTGACCTATACGTATACGTATTTTCGCAAGTCGACGTTTCCCTCAATGATACATTGATAACTCCTAGTGAAAATACGTATACGTATAGGTCAATTTTAGAGTGTTTACTTAATTATGGAGAAGAGGCCAAGAAGAGTCATTTGACGGCGGCTTTCTATTACCAAGATACACCAGGTCACATGGCTGATACGACAGGTAACAACAATATAGGATTTTCGAAGCGCCGATCGTTGGCCACCAATAGCGTAGAGCTCGACATGATGGGAAAGTTGCACTCTGATATATTTGTGCAAGATCGGTATCTACTTAACGGCGTCGATATGAAAATCAAGTTGACACCCTCCAAATCAGTCTTCAATATAATTGCCCACGATGCAACGGTTGGTTACAAGTCTGTTATAACCTACGCGACTTTCTTGGTGAGGAAGGTAAAATTAAACCCCGCTATATCTATGGCACATGAGAAGGCATTACTACGAGCCACAGCGAAGTATCCGATAAAACGCATAGTAGTTAAGACGTTTTGC